TATCATAATAATTAATTTAATTATGAATGCCTAGTTTCATGCAATCGTGAATGGTCCTAGGTTTGTTTACATTCTGAAAACAGATTCGCCGTACGAAGCGTCACACTCTCAAGGCAGAATGAGAGTTGCTTGACTTAATTAGGGATTTGTGCCTCTGTCAACACACTCAGGCTTTCAACTTTCACTTAAGGTTTTGAGTCTTATATATGGAGTCTTTAAGAGTGGATAAGGGTGGATAAGGGTTGTAGGGTAAATTAAGGGAGCTTGTCCTTTCTAAAGGGTTATTTAGGCTAAAAGAGTTTCATAAAACGTTTAGTGAGACTGAAAAAAAGGTTTGATAATTACGATAGAGTAGATTAAATACTCTAAAACTCCAAATAACTACGCGGACGATAACGCAAAGAACGAAATATTTTCAGCAGCTAGCGTTACTTTTTAATACGTTACGACTGTTTGTTCGACTGTCCATTGTTCTGCTGATGAACGCTGTCAGTTTTTGGGGCCGAGATGAGTGGTGTTGGGGTGTGGGAAGTGTGTGGGGGTGACGGAAGTGTGTTTGGGTGAGGGAGGTGTGTGGAGGTGAGGGAGGTGTGTAGGGTGAGGGAGGTGTTTCAGGGTGTAACTAGGGGGATCAGGGGGGTGGATCTTAGTTCAGCATCTTCATAGCGCTTTCTTCAATCTGCAGCTCACGGTGCCTGGTGCTGGAGGCTTCACCTTGACCCCCGAATGACTTCCATAGCTTCACGTAAAGCTTCTCACAGGTTGGGTTGATAGTGCTGCTCACCAGCTACTTGTGGTGACTTGGTCCTGAAAATGCTCCAAGTTATCATTTTATTTATAAATTGTGTCCATGAAATATATCGTATTTGCAGAAATAGAATACTGTAGTAGTAAAAGTAGTAGGTGTACTAGTAACAGTGGTAGTAGTAGTAGTAGTAGTAGTAGATATTACTGAAGTCAGAGAAGTGAGGTCAAAATAGCGAACTACGGCCAAAGACATCTAGGTGCGGTAATCGGCACGAGCGATATCAAGACCGAGTACGTAACGGGAAAAGTAAGTGAGTGGGTGAAGGAAATCCAAGCTCTGTCTCATATTGCTAAAACAGATCCACAGGCGTCGTTTTCGGCTTTCACTCGTGGATTCACCCTCCTTCTAGTCACAGGCCTGGCACTTGACATTATTAGGGACCTGCCACGCTTTGCTATAAACAGATGAAATGTACCGGGAACTTTACCCCCACACACTCATCATTCTCTCACTTTATGTAACTTGACAAAACCTATGACCCTTCAGGCTTTTACGCCCTTAATGTACGAGTCATAAAGGCAAGTATGAACTTTGCATACATCCCAGATGGGCGCTGTAAACGCTTCTGCGCTTCACCTTGCACAGGATGTAAGGGGGTGCCTAACAAACTAGCCCCCTCGGGGGCAAATCTGAAATCTGAATCTCATGGATTCAAACATCGCTGGAATTTTCTGATGCTCACTATCCCTGATATTGGATCCCTCCTCCAACCTCTGGAAAAGGCCATCAGCGTCATTTTTATTCCAACATCAGTGAAAAACTTTCACTTAACCGCAGCTGAAAGGTCACTCCTTGCACTACCACCGAGACTGGGAGGAATAGGATTGTCCAATCCAGAGGCGCTTGCTGCCACCGAACATCAGAACTAAATCAAACTTACGGCATCCCTCAATGAGCACATAATAGCTCAGAATGCAACAAGTGAGGTGGATACCAATGAATTAAACAAAATTCGACGGTCGAATACAACAGAACGATAGCACACCCAAAGTTATACACTGTAAAACTTGATGCTGCAATTGCCAGAGAACTTGAAAAGAAAAGTAACAATATCACAGGAGGTGGGCGCCTCGAACAGCCTAACAACGTTATCAATTAGGGCAAACGGTTTCAGCCTTAATAAAAAAGATTTTATAAATGCCATTGCTCTAAAGTATGGTAGGCCAGTAGATGGGCTGCCCTCCCAATGCGTGCGTGGCTCACCCTACGACATTGACTATGCCATGGAGTGCAAGAAGGGGGACTTCGTGTCCATGAGGCATGACGAAGTAAGGGATCTCACAGCAAATATACAGAACTAAATCTGCCAGGACATCACCTGTGGAATCGACCCTCCTTCCATTGGACGGTGAGACCCTCCATCATAGGACTTCCGACACTCTAATTGAAGCCCGTGAGGATTTCAACGCCCGAGAATTCTGGACGAGGGGACAGCAAGCCTTGTTTGACGTCAGAATTTCCGACCCCATGGCCGTAAGTCACCGTATCTTGTCTCGTGAGGCTGCACACAAGAGGAACGAGAACTACAAGATTTGGGTGTAAGCAAAGAGAATTCAGAATGTGGATCAAGACAGCATCATTCTCTGGTGTTCATAACCTCTGGTGGGATGAGACCACGAGCAAGACGCTTTTAAACAAGACTGGCCGAGGTGTTATCTGAATAGTAGCAGCACCCCAGAAGCCACGTTGCAGCCTGGTTGAGATGTCGACTGTCCTTTCTGTGAATAGGTCTGCATTGCTTTGCCATCAAGAGTAACTGAACGCTGCATAGACCTGCAGCTTAACTAACTTAACACAGCTAGGGTAGCTACTTTTATATTAGATTATTAATATTAAGGTAATAAAATGGTGGGGAGGTGTGGCTATTAGAGGGGGCTGGAGGCCACGCCAAAAAAAATAAAAGTAGTAGTAGCAGTAGGTGTACTACATTTTCAGCGACAGTCTCCACTCGTAACATTACTCGGCGAGGAGTTTACGCCTCAGAATTTGTTCAACATATTCGTGTTTTTTCCAAAATATTTATGTTACCACACCGTTTCGTATTCTTAGTTTTGCTTCCCCAAGTGCGGAAATTATCAGACATCAACAAAAAAGAGTTATTATCCCTTAAATACAGTAATATATATGTACGATAGATTGAATACCAAAGAGCTGTAGCAACTTTTCCAGTCTCCCTTTGCCAGCCAATCAGCTTCCTAACTACAAAGTGACTACAGGCCTCATTTGTAATGGTCCAGTGAACATACTATAGTAACAGCAGTAGTAGTAGTTGTAGTAGTAATAGTAGTAGTAACAAGATTGGCTCTCACCTGTACACAGGGACGCGAGGCTGCTTATCACCATGGTCAGTATGTATAATACAGATGGTGCCGGAGTAGCAGTAGGAGACGTCGTAGGGTGTCTTGGCCGTGGACCTGACGTAGCGTATAAACATCTTAATATCTGTCAACAGAAGTCAGCCATAGGTCAACAAAAGTCAGTCACAGGTCAAAAGAATTCAGCCACAGGTCAACAAAAGTCAGCCACAGGTCAACAGAAGTCAGCCACAGGTCAACAGAGTTCAGTAGCAGATCAACGAAAATCAGTCACAGGTCAACAAAAGTCAGTCACAGGTCAACAGAAGTCAGTCTCAGGTCAACAGAAGTCAGCCTCAGGTCAACAAAAGTCAGTCACAGGTCAACAGAAGTCAGCCTCAGGTCAACAGAAGTCAGCCTCAGGTCAACAGAAGTCAGCCACAGGTCAACAGAGTTCAGTAGCAGATCAACGAAAATCAGTCACAGGTCAACAGAAGTCAGTCTCAGGTCAACAGAAGTCAGCCTCAGAACAACAAAAGTCAACCACCGGTCAACTGAAGTCGGTAGCAGGACAACAGAAGTCAACGGCAGATGAACAGAAGTCAGCCACAGATCAACAGAAGTCAGCCACAGGTCAACAGTGGTGAGCCACAGGTCAACAGAAGTCAGCCATGCACAGGTCAACAGAGGTTAGCCACAAGTCAACGGAAGTCCGCCACACACAAGACGGCAGAAGTTTGCCTCAGGTTAACAGAAGTCAGATATGCACAGGTCAAAAGATTTTTGCCACGGGACAACAGAAGTCAGCCATGTGCATGTCAACAAAAGTCAAATATGCACAGGTGAACAGAAGTTAGCCACAGGTCAACAGAAGTCAGACATGCACAGGTGAACAGAAGTCAGCCATGCACAGGTCAACAGAAGTCAGCCACAGGTGAACAGAAGTCAGCCATGCACGGGTCAACAAAAGTTAGCCATGAATAGGTCAACAGAAGTCAGCCACAGGTAAAAAAAAGTCAGCCATGCACAGGTCAACAGAAGTCAGCCACAGGTCATCAGAAGTCAGCCACAGGTCAAAATAAGTCAGCCACAGGTCAACAGAAGTCAGCCATGGACAGGTCTACAGAACTCAGCCACAGGTTAACGGAAGTCAGACAAGCACAGGTCAACAGAAGTCAGACAAGCACAGGTCAACAGAAGTCAGACAAGCAAAGGTAAACAGAAATTAGACAAGCACAGGCCACCAGAAGTTAGCCACAGATCAACAGAAGTTTGGCACTGGTCATCAGAAGTCAGCCACAGGTCAACAGAAGTAAGCCCCAGATAAACAAAAGTGAGCCACAGGACAAACAGAAGTCAGCCATGCACAGGCCAATAGAAGTCAGCCATGCACAGGTGAACAGAAATCAGCCATGCACAGGGCAACAGAAGTCAGCCATGCACAGGTGAACAGAAGTCAACCATGCACAGGGCAACAAAAGTCAGCCATACTCAGGTGAACAGAAGTCAGCCATGCACAGGGCAACAGAAGTCAGCCATGCACAGGTCAACAGAAGTCAGCCATGCACAGGTGAACAGAAGGCAACCATGCACAGATCAACAGAAGTCAGCCATGCACAGGTCAACACAAGTCAGCCATGCACAGATCAACAGAAGTCAGCCATGCACAGGTCAACACTCTTACTGCTGAGGCCACTGAAGTATGGCCTGTGCTTGAGGAAATCCTCCCAGATGATGCAGGCGAGAGAGTTACCAGTGGAGGACAGAGGCTGGTGGAGGATGGTGGTGATGGTGTGTGGTGGAGGATGGTGGTAATGGCGTGTGGTGGAAGATGGTGGCAATGGTGTGTGGTTGAGGATGGTGGTGATGGTGTTTGGTGGAAGATGGTGGTAATGGTGTGTGGTGGATGATGGTGGTGATGGTGTGTGGTGGAGGATGGTGATGATGGTGTGTGGTTGAGGACGGTGGTAATGGCGTGTGGTGGAAGATGGTGGCAATGGTGTGTGGTTGAGGATGGCGGTAATGGTGTTTGGTGGAAGATGGTGGCAATGGTGTGTGGTTGAGGATGGTGGTAATGGTGTTTGGTGGAAGATGGTGGTAATGGTGTGTGGTTGAGGATGGTGGTAATGGTGTTTGGTGGAAGATGGTGGTAATGGTGTGTGGTGGATGATGGTGGTGATGGTGTGTGGTGGAGGATGGTGATGATGGTGTGTGGTGGAGGATGGTGGTGATGGTGTGTTGGTTGAGGATGGTGGTGATGGTGTGTGGTGGAGAATGTACAAGTATGGTATAATATTATTTCCAAATATAAACATTATTTATGACCATACAACTTTACCATAATCAGGTCCAGGTAACATTAGTAACACAGGTCCTCGTCAGGTAACAACACACCTAACATACAGTAGATGACACAGGTATTTGTTAACATAGGTTACAGGTTACAAAATTTACACAGACACACTTGTTAAACGCATGTTAAATATCATAGTTCACAAATTTCAGATAATACAAATAACATAGGGCACAGGTAACACGTAACACACTTAACATGTCACAAGTAACACAACATAAGTAACAGAGCTCCAGGTAACTCGCAAAACAATCAACACAAATGACACAGGTCCACGTAGCACGCAAAACAACCAACACAAATAACACAGATCCAAGTAGAACGCAAAACAATCAACACAAGTAACACAGGAAACAAAAGTAACAAGATTCCAAGTAAGAAAGGCAGAGACCTCAGTACACCACCGTACACCGCCGACACAAACACCCCAGCGAGTCCTGTAAGGTGACTCAGTTTGTCGGTCACCAAGAAGGGGAGGATCTGGTCTGGTTTGGTGATCTTCCCGGAGGTGAGGGGGTCACACGTGCTGTAGGTGGCGAAGGCAACCAAGCCGGAGAGAAAGAACACTGTCCACAGGCAGTATATCCCAACCAGGAAGATGCTCAGCCTGGGTTAGATTAGGTTAGGATAGGTTAAAATTAACTCTGTTGAGTCAGAATGGACTCATTGGCTTAGGTTAAGTATAAATATGGTTTAGTTAGGTTATGTTAGGATTAATTAGGATAAATAAAACCCACCTTTCCAACAAGACACTCATGTTTAAGGGCAAATTACTTATATCATAACCAAACCTTTTAGCTATACGTAGAGAGGAGACGGAGGCGAACCTTTGGTAGACGGCCTGGTTGAGACCAATATCACCAACCATCATGTAGAAGCCAAGGACAAAGGTCGACCAGAAGGTGTGACGGACGAAGGGGCTGCTGTCCAGGCTGTGGGTAGGTTACAGGTTAAATAGAACCTATTTACTGCAGGTTGTAGATCAGCAGGAGCCTAGCTATTGCTAGTTGCAGATCAGATTATATCCTAATTTCTTACAGGTGAATGGCTACAGATTTACTGTTGGACTCTTCGACTATATAAATTTTAAGGTATGGCTGCTGATAGACTCTTCGACTATTTAAGACAGGGCTGCTGATGATCTCTGAACTCTTTAAGACAGGCTGCTGATGGGCTCTGGATTCCTTAAGATAGAGATGCTGATGGTCTCTATACTCACTTGAAGAACTCAATCCTGTTGCCCTCGTTAGCGATCCTCCACACGTTACCAAGACCCCCGAGGTCGACACAACAGATGATCACCACCACCAACACACCCAGGAACATGAGGAGGGTTTGCATGACGTCCGTGTACACCACAGCCTTCACGCCTCCCTGATGTACACAAGGTTGTAAACAATGGGTATCCTATGTGTATACCACCGCCTGCCCTTCCTTATGTACACATAGCTTGTATATCTCCCCGTTGTATTAAGCGTGTTGCATCCTGTATGTATAACAATGCCTGTAGACTTCCCAGATGCACACAGATTTATAACATATACGTGATATTCTACAATAACTGTCATATGTAACTTATGTGTGATATAATTTATCATAAGCTGATTTGCTCTGTTCAGTTGCAAAAAATAGTGATTTTACAATTGAGTTTTAATTTCAATTATCCAAATAAAACTGATATTCAAAACAATAATACACAAGTGACGCGAGATAAATGTAATAACAATAATAATAATAATAATAATAATAATAATAATAATAATAATAATAATAATAATAATATTAATAATAATAATAATAAACGGTTTTTGAAAAAGATTGCAGCCTGAAGGCTGAAAATATATATTGGACATAACTGACTTATTACATAAATTGGTGGTTTAACAAAAGCCTTCATTAGAGAGGTGAAGGAACATAAACAGTGAACATACAGATTAATGGTTACACACGTAGATAATGTGAGCTGAGGTGTTGAACAGCAGACACGTAGTGTAGTAACTCCCTCACAGATGGCGTTATGAGGGGCATCACGTGGAGTACTAGTTCCCTCAAAGGTGGTGTTATGAGAGGCTTGACGTGGTGTAGTAATTCTCTCACAGATGGTGTTACGAGGGGCCTGATGATGTAGTAATTCCCTCACAGATGGTGTTACGAGGGGCCTAATGATGTAATAGTTTCCTCACAGATGGTGTATGAGGGGCCTGATGATGTAGTAATTCCCTCACAGATGGTGTTATGAGGGGCCTGATGGGGTGTAGTAATTCCCTCACAGACGGTGTATGAGGGGCCTGATGTGGCGTAGTAATTCCCTCACAGATGGTGTATGAGTGGCCTGATGTGGTGTAGTAATTCCCTCACAGATTGTGTTATGAGGGGCATCACGTGGTGTAGTAATTCCCTCGCAGATGGTGTTATGAGGAACTTCACATGATGCTGTAGCAACTCATTCACTACGTGGTGTCGTGCATCATGGGGACACCACGTGATCTATTGTCACAAGACTTCACTCACTCAAGTGGGTGAGGTGTTGTCCCAGGCCTCCCCATCGTGGAGTCTCA